AAAGAAGTAAGTCTACCAGGCACTATCTCACCCACCCTGACACCAGAACAACTAGATGGTGCCTGGTACCACCAGTGCCATTCACATTAGGGTCACAACAGTTTTCTCTCAGATAGAAGGGGAGGAAAATATGAAGCAGATATTAATTTTTTTTTTAAAGCGGCATCATTTTGACCTTCTCCTCACATGCTTACTTTACTTGGTGTCCCTCCCAGACCACAGAATAAAGGACTGTTTGTTGGGACCAGCTTCTTTCTTTCTGTCTCTCATTCTTTTTTCTATCTAACACATGGTTCACTGACCAGAAGAATGCCCAGAGAGAGGCCATACTCTCCACTTCCATGTGAGTAATGCAAGAGCCTATCTAGACTCTTTATTGATCTGGCTTGTACCCTCCTGAAGATGCCAAACTTCTCCCTCCCTGTCATGCTTCTCTCAACAGTCTTACTGGTCTCAAAGGTTAAAGGCCATTTGTCATTTAAATTCAACAACATCCAACACAGATCTCAATTCTCAACAACCTAAAACTATCCTGCTGACTAAGTTTTCTACAGGAGCAGATGAGAGCCTTAGCCAACCATATAGTCTGTGAACTCCTCATATTATCAGCTGGGTACCACCCATTACCCTCCTTTGTCACAACTGCAAACTCCGATGCCTAAAATCAAGAGCCTTTCCCTCCTTTAGACAGTTGCCCTCGTTCAACAAGAAGTAGCTATAGAAGAGAATCTCAAAAGCCCCAATCTATAACAAAAGGCTGGAATGTTAAGAGGCGTGGAGCTTCTCTCTTTCCCTTTCCCCAGAACAGCCACAGAAATGATCAAAGCAGCAGCTGCAACTCTGTTTATCTCTGTTAGAGCTGCAAAACTATTTCACCTCCCTTTCCCAGGAATAACTAACTATGACCCCAGACCTGCTCCCTTATCTTGTACCAAGCAGCTGTAAACATCCTAACTCCCCAATTTTCTTCTGAGACAATATAAAACTCCACTCTAAGTAGTGGCTGGTCTCTGCTTTAGAGTAAGCTTGACAGTTTCCCCCCAATCAACTGTCTTTCTTGGCCTGAATTGGGTTCTGTCCTTCCTCAGTGACCTTATAGTATGGGGGATTATCTGCTGGGTAGGATCAGAAAAGGTGAGAGATGATGTTTTATCTGGGGGTCAGGTTTATTTGCTTTTATTAAAATAGGTCTAAGAATAGGGGGTGGAGGGAAAACCAAACAACATCAGCAGTGAACAGAGATACTGAGAAACTCTTTAAGCCTAGAACTGAGTCTATCCCATTCAGCAAAACAGCAGAGTGGCATACAAATAAACAATAGTCTAGAGAGCTATGCTAACCCATGCTGATGGTCTGAATTTGCCAGCAGCTCTGAGGGACAAAGAAAGCATCTCCAAATGTGTGGTTTACAGCCTCAAAAGCCATATGGAGGTGTCAGCTAGGAATCAGTTTCAATCTGAGGGCAATGAGTTTGAGTTTTGATGTGTAAGACCGATGCCCTACTTAAAAACCATTAATATGATACCAAAAGGTCAACAATTACTCAAAAGAGAAGACAAAAAGATAAGGAGGCAGGGAAATGAGAGTCACTAGAAAAGGAACAAACTCAACACAAAGAGGATGTTGACACACTGTGATAAATGCAACTAATGTCACTCAACAAACTGTCGAAATTGTCAAATGGGGAAAAAAATATTGTAATGTATATATAACACAAACAAATACACAGAAAAACCACCAAAAAGAAATCTATCAAAAAGTTAACTCTAGAAGTGAGTTTTTTATTTTTTTATTTTATTATAATTTACTATGCCAATGTTAGATCAGGAAAAATAAATATTAAAACACCAAATTCCAAATAATTACAAAGTCAATGCTAGACATTAGATAACTTTCAGTCTTGAATCCATTATATTTCTATAGCATCATTGTATCATTGTATCAATGTAAAATGCAGTTTGTAATGTTACCAGGTACCCATAGCTATTGAATACTAATCTGAAACACACATCCACACAAACTACATAATGGATTTGAGTATGATCTGTGGACTGTACTAATGTCAATCTCCTGGTTTTTATTTTGTACTATAGTTATAGCTATAGTTGCATGCTTCAAAATTGGGAAGGGCGTATGCCAGGGATGCGTCCTATCTCCATACCATTTCAACCTGTATGCAGAAAGGATTATCCAGGAGGCTGGGCTCTATGAGGAGAAATGTGGAGTCAAGATTGGTGGAAGATCTATCAACAATCTGTGTTATGCAGATGACACAACCCTGCTTGCTGAATCTGAGGAGGACCTGAAGTGCTTGCTGCAGAGGGTCAAGGACTGCAGCCTTCAATATGAATTGAGGCTCAATATCAAGAAGACAAAGATTCTCACCACTGGGCTAGTAGGCAGCATCAGGATGGATGATGAAGAGACTGAGATTGTTCACAGCTTTAGTTTGCTTGGCTCCACAGTCAACACTCTAGGCACCAGTAGCCAGGAAATTAAAAGGCATATTGCCATGGGAAAGTCTGCTGTTAGGGACCTCTCCAAAGTGCTGAAGATCAATGGTATCTCTTTGGAGACTAAGGTGCATCTGATACAGGCCATGGTCTTTGCTATCACTTGTTATGCATCAGAGAGTTGGACAATGACCAAGGAGGATAGAAGGAGAATTGATGCCTTTGAGCTGTGGTGCTGGAGAAGAGTATTGAGAGTACCATGGACTGCTAAGAAAACAAACAGATTCATCCTGGAAAGGGTTAAACCGGGTGGCTCCTTGGAGGCAAGGATTCTGAGGCTCTGTCTAACATACTTTGGACATGTTGCGAGGAGAGACAGGTCCTTGGAGAAGGACATCATGCTTGGTAGGGTGGAGGGAAAGAGCAGGAGGGGAAGGCCCTCTATGAGGTGGATTGATTCAGTGACTGGGGTAATTTGGATGGGTGTGTCAGAGACAGTGCGATTGGTACAGGACAGAGCAGAGTTTAGGGCCGCTATGAATCAGAAGCAACTCGACGGCACATAACAACAACAACAACAATAACAACAACAACAAAACATCTATAGTTATAGAGGTAGTCTAGGAGGAAGGGGGCTACATTGCCAAACCAAAGGCATGAGGTTTGAATCTGCCAAGGAAAAAGATGGGCAATGTCCTCACATACAATTTATAGTCTCTGAAAAAACTTCTGGAGGGTCAGCAATGAGTGTTCTGACTCAACAGTTCTGAGTTTTAATTTGTTGGGGGTTAATTTTGACTACAGTAGCAGAAGATATTACCACTGGGGAAACTGAGTAAAGGGAACCTCTCTGCATTATTTATTGAACATTCCTCAGAAGCTTTATTAAAAAATCTAAAACTAAATAAAACCACAACTAACTTTGGTGAATTATAGAGGCAAGATTTCAAAGAAACCTCTTTTCAAGAAAACTGATTATTTGGTTCTTTTCTGGCTTATAATGATAGAAATCTGAAAAGCTTAAGTGTTTATTATTATACTATTTTTTCTTAATTTAAAAATCTTTACTGTGGATCTATTCAGAAATCACAAATACACACCTTGTTCTCAGAGGCTTTAAAAAGTAATTAAAGTATAATAAATATCTTACTCAAAATGTGGGGGCCTGGAGCCTCCACTAGTTTAGCTGCTAGCTAGCATCTTGATGGCAGTCACATCGGTCACATTAAGAGAAGTTTTTAGGGTCATGTTTGATGTGTGTTACTGCTCTTTTCCCCCCAAGAATGAGTGTTCTTGAGCCTTTGACCAAGGGTGGAGGTCAGTTCAAAGGTGTGGCTTTATTTATTAGTTTTCGAACGAATAGTCAAATGATACAGCAATCTTTTGTCTATTTGCTGAACTGAACAACTTGGTGTTGCTGTAATGCAGCACACTGTCCCATAGTCTTATCAAATGCCTAATGGTTACCCATTATGTACAATGTTTGGATGAGCTTCCAGATTGATTTATGCTGGGAAGCAGGAGTGGCATCCACTTCCTAAACTAGATGCCGCTGGAAACTCTACAAACTCTCTAAATGTACAGAATTGATATTCAGGTCTTTTGTGCAAAGCTTACTTTCAGCTGTATTTGTCGTGACAACACTTAACCACCGCTAAATGAGACTAGTGCTGTTATATCTGGAGGAACACTCTTCCACTTTGTACATCACTCTGTCAATGTGCTGTAACCTGAAGTAACCTGGGTTTGTTGTGATGCTGAACCTTGTGCCATTGGTGTATCAAATACCAGAATGGTTTCCCAATGTGGACAGTGTTTGGTGGAGCACGCAATTGTAAAACAGGTTTGGAAGCAGGTGTGGCATCCACTTCCTAAACCACATGCCTCTGGAAACTCTATGAACTTGGAGAAACGACGATAGTTATGGAAAGGCATTCGGTCTTTTGTTCATAGAGTAGCTATGAGTCATGCTTGAGGGCAATAAACAACAAGAACAACAACAACAACTCAAAAGGTATTTTTGTTTGTTTGTTTCGTTTTTGTGGTAGTCCAAAAGCAAACTCAGCTTTAGTTAATAAAGATTCTCTTTAAAATGTGTTTCCCATCAAGTCTATATAATTGTTAGAGCTACAAGAGAAAGTTCAAAGATAAAATAGACCACTATCTATTAGGTGGGCAACTATCTCCTAGCAACTACAACCTGCCAGGAAGAACAAAAGGACAGTTCTCTGAAACTAGATTACTTGGGCTCTATAAGGGAAACTCTCTACCCCAGGCACAGGTTCTCCACAGGAGAAAGATGGGCTATCTCCTCTCATGCTATTTAAGTCTCTGAAAACCCACTGTAGGATTAACTAGGAGTCAGTTCTGACTCAGAACACAACAAGCTCTACATAGGAAGTTAGCCTGCAAAGATCCTAAACTAAAATTCTTATTCTAAGGAAACAAAACCTCTATATGATAAAGCAAAGTATATAAATCCATTCATAAAGAAAGTCTTCATATAGTAGGTAAAACCAAAGGAATCTGAAAGCACATTCAATGTACCTTTTGATAAGGTCTCTTAGGTGATAGGCTGGAATTGCGGCATTCACCACTGCTTTACTGGCAAATATGTGGTCAATAATAGCAGAACTGTTTGCCTAGAAAAGAGAAGAAAAGTCTTTGTTTGGTCGTTGAGAATAATCTCTATTGACCAGGAAGCACACAGCACTATACTTTGTTAGTAAAATGCAAAGAAAATACTCTTATGAAAATTTACAATCTTAATTGAGGAAATTTTGTACAAAAATTATATAAGAGACTGAAAGAGAGGAGGAACATTTTTTTCTCTACCTTCAGCATCTAGCACTCTGAACATTTTACTTGGTGAGCGAGCAAAGAAAGAAATAACGAAAGTAAAACCACACAAAATTTTATTAACTAGCTTGGGAGGGACTGGAGAGCATAATGCTGAGTGAACTGACTCAGTCCTACAAAGATAAATATTGTATAAAACCACTAATGTAGAGTGAGTATAAGAATCCAAGATGGGGGGAGGGTGGAAACAGTGGGGTGAGGATGTGTAGGAGGGGGGTGGATTAACCATGGGATTGTACAATTTGATGACAGGGTGAGGGAAACTGGAAGAATCTGGTCTGAAAAAAAGATATTCATTCTAAGGAAAAAAATGTACTCAAATTTTGTAAATAAACTATACAATAAGAAAATAATGGAAAAAATTTTAAAAACGTAGTTCACTGCAAAGTAAGAAAAGGAATATGTGCTGGTCAGGATGTCTTTGGTTTCACACAGAAAGAAATGAACTATCAAAAAGAAAATGAGGCAAGATTCAAAAACCTTTGCCACTTGATTCACTTTCAAGATCCTTAAGAAACACTAACATTTTCTCCTTGAATATCAGGTTAGCTAAGAACTTGGAACTATGTATATATGAGTAAAAAGATCTGACACCATTATTATTACTCAAAACGTACTGAAGATGTACCAAGTGATAGAGACTAAGCTACTTAGTTTTAGGAGTGTGTCTTTTTTATTCTCAACACTCTAAGCTATGATCATCTTCATTTCTCAGACAATAAAATGGTTTGGTGAATACTAGTTTAATTTCAGAGCATACATTCATACCAACTTGACAATTCGTCTCCAAAGTGATAAAAATGAGTAATAACATTTTGTCTACAATGGCAAATAGGACTGATCATTCCCTTAATACACATGAAAATCCAAGTGTGATTTAGTTCTGATCAGTCTGAAAAACAGTCAAAGCTAATAAATATGAAAGTACCAATGATAAAGAATGGTACTTGCTTTACTGGAAAAGGCTGCTATATTTAGCTTCTTCTCACTCACAAAAAGTGTTTGATACTCCCAGTAAACCATTAATTCTTTCCAGGAACTGCTATACCAGAAATTGGTGATTAGTAGTTTAAAATAAATGAAACTATATGGAGTCCATGAGTGGTGAAAGAGTTAAATGTGTTCATACATAAACTGAAAGGCTGAAGGTCTGAGTTCATCCAAAGACACCATGGAAAAAAGGTGTAGCAATCTACTTCTGAAAAATAAGCCAATAAAAACCCAAAGGAGAGTTCTATTCTGACACATACGAGGTCACCATAAGTTAGAAATGATTTGACAGAAACTACTTTGTGTTTAGTTGATTTTATGTGATTTTATGCATACTAAAATTGGAATGATACAGAAACAATTAGCATAGCCCCTGCACAAGGTTGAAATGCAAATTCATAAAGTGTTCCATAACATTAAGGGTTTGATTATTTCATTGTTGTTGTGTACTCCTGAGTCAGAACCAACCCAAAACTGACCCTCTGGCAGGTTTTCAGAGACAGTTAATCATACGGGAAGGGCCCAAACTTCCCCCACGGAGCAGCTAGTGGATTTGAACCAGGTGCCTTTGAGAATGTATTACAGCTTCTTACCATTAGGCCACCAGAGCTCCCTAGAGAGAATTAATCACATTAGTAAATTTTAGTTAATATTACAAAATAAAATGTCTATGAATGACTAATCAATTGCAGTGATTTGTAAACCTCCACTAAAAAAAGGTTTTTTATAAAAAAGAGAAAACTATGTGCTAGGTCTAATATCAAACCAATTATTTCTTAAGCATATTATTTATCAAGGCTTAAGCACAAAGTATACTATTATCACATCAAAGTCTCCTAATACGTTTGAAGACATGACATTGTTAATTTCTAACTTATTGACACATAACAATTTCATTTACATTTCAGTTGCTTAGAACTTGAGCAATGTCCCTACAGAAACAATGTTTAAAAGTAGCAGTTATTTTACCAGCACAGTTCACATATGGAGTAAAGAAGAAGCAATATGGAACTGTAGGCAGCACACTAGATGTTGGAGGAGAAAAAGAATTTGAGGATTTCTGTAATACCCAGGTGTATGATCTGGAACAAGATGCTGTACTTAACTGTGCCTTCAGTTTCTCACTTGGAGAATAAGAAAAACTGATGGCATCATTCTATAAATACACTCATGGAGCTGCTAGGAGGATTCAATATGTTTATGCATTAAGATACTTAAGTGCTTGTTTCAGCAGCATATATACATACTAAAACTGGAACAATACATAGAGGATTAGCCTGACCTCTGCATAAGGATGATATGCAAATTTGTGAATTGCTCTATATTTTTGTGATTTCATTGTGGGTAGTGAAATTAATGTAAAAAACAAAATGTGTATGAAAAACTGCATTAGCTTTGTAACTTGTATTCAAATTATATTTTTTTAAAAAAGCAAAGAAAAAAAATAAATACTTAAGTAGAAAGCATTAACTTAAAAGTGCTATGTGAAGGTTATTTTACTCATATCAATTGTTTTGTGTTCACAGCACTTTAGAACTCATTGTTGTGTGCAGTTGAGACGATTCCAACTCAGAATAACCCTAACAAAACTGCCTAATTGGCAGTTTCAAACACTGACCCTTTGGTTACCACCTTAGTTTAACTACTGTGCCTTCGGACTCCTTCTTTAGCCCACTACAATCAAATGTGTGAGAGCTGGGACTCATGGAACAGCTTTGTTTTTCCAAGTCTTGAAAGTTTTTTACTATTAATAGGTACAGTCTTGCCATTTTCTACTGTTATTGCTGTGTGCTCTCAAGTCAGAACTAACTCATAGTTGACCATTTAGCAGGTTTTCAGAAGTAGTAAACTGCACAGGAGAAGACTGTCCAACTGACTCCATGGAGCAGCAGGTGGATTTGAACCATGTGCTTTTGGGTTGGCAGTGCAGCCCCTGAATACTAGGCCACCAAAGTTCCCTTGAAAACATATATATTCAAGTATTTTATTAACCACTTACTTTATGCTAAGTCCCAGGCTGGGAATAATGAGTATGCAATATTCACCAGCACCTCTGTAGGAACAAGAGGCAATAGAAACATGCAATATATCATAAATACAGGAAGAGGAGTATAAAGGAGTATAAAGAAGAAGGAGTATAAAGAAGTAATAAGAGTCTTCAGCGAGAACCACTGACTGGGTACTTAAATTGGGATTAAGGACAGTAAAGAAAAGCACTGGTGCAGTTTACCTTCCATTCCTGAGATCTGACTGTATGTTTCAGTTTCATTCCTGAGAACATTTCCAGTAAAATGATTCCTAGGCTCCACAGATCAACAGCTGAGGTACATTCTGTATCACTCTGCAGGCCAGCCTGGGCCAAGCAATTTTGCAATTCTGCTTCTGGAGCTCGATACCCGTCTGTCTGAATATATTTTACATCCTAAAGAAGACAAATAAATATTACAGCCAATAAAAAGCTCTTCACTTTTCATGTACCTCTAGAGCCTATTTAAAAGTATAGTAAAGCACTGCCAAACTGAATGCCTTGAATTTTTAGTCCATGGCTACTCTATAATTTTTTGTTCACAAACTGGGCCGATCTTATAGGTAAATTGTACACTTTCCATATTTCTGTTCATAAAACACTACTTAAATTATCTCTTACCTGTTAGTAACTGCTGTTAAATAAGAATACTCTGCAATGGAGAAGGGAGTGTTTTATCGTAAATGTCCCATGCATTCTGCCATGAGAATATCCTAAAACTGATTATACTAGGAGCAGTAACCTAGCAATTAACAAAATGTCTACAGAATAAAGAAGTATTTTATGTAGATGAGGTGTTCCCAATAATTTGAAAGCTATCTGTACATTCCCAGCTCCCCCCAGCTGAACTAAACATATACTCTTTTTCACTAGTGGCATTGAAAATTTTTTGTTTGCTTACCCCCAGGCACTTTAGTATTTAGATAGAAATGCCTCTTAAGTTTCTACTAAAGCATGTTTACGATTTAAAAAAAATATTTTAGCTTAAAAAATATTTTGGCTCGACCATTAGGTTTTAAACTGCAGAAAGGAATAGGGGTGAGAGAGGGTGTTTCTTACCTGATTTCCCTCTTTGAAGCTAAGTCCAAAGTCAATGAGTTTAAAACATTCATTCTCTGCACTCCACAATATGTTACGTGGTTTGAGGTCTGCATGGACGTAGCCCTCATGATGAAGAAAAGCAAGGGCCTCTAGGACATCTCTAGCACAATGCTGTATCATCCACATGGAACAACCCTGGTGACTGGAATATAAAAGCAATTCCGAAACACTGACATCCAGGAGCTCAAGCAACAGACAACGTGATGGCACATTTGGAGAGAAGTGGATTGTAAATACTCCATACAAAGTCACTAGAAAAGGGAAAAAAATTATAATACTTATGATGATATTTGGAATGAGTTACTACTAAAAGAGGTAATTCAGTAATACACACTTAGGATAGTCTAGCTAAGAAGTGCACTGATGAACAAGCAAGTTTTCACTGTATTTTTTACCCAAATAAGATTTGGGGGCAATTGGATTCTTTTAGTAAAAGATGAGACAACTTTAAAAAGCTGATTACCATTAAAGATTGCATGTGGCACAATGACTCAAAATTGTTTCACCAAGCTCTCAACCAGGATACACTAAAGTGCTTCAACATATGCACTTAAAATGCCAAAGATAACCAAAGCAAAAGTCTATGTAAAAAATACTATGTAACTTTCTTAAACATCATAGTGGGTAAACATAATTTATTCTTTTGAATCCAAGAGATATGTTCAAGCTTCATAAAAGAGGTAAGACTTCCCAAATGCCATTTCCAAAGTCTTCAGGCCCCGAAAATATTTTTCCTCTTATATACCAGGGTTAAAGTGACATTATCATGTAATGAGCTAAATTTTAAAATAAATATAGCATTATATTCTTCTCAAAGATAATATTTAAAAAGTCACTCTTCAAATAAAATATGAATTGTGTATGCCAGGAAGTAAGATATATCTCTACTAACCAAAACCAAAATGAATTATAAGCTCTCTGGTATAACGCCTGTGAAGATAATTTTCATGGATCAGTGATCATGATACATTTTGAATATTTGAGTCATGAAAATAGTCTCACAAGCCCAAAATGATAGGGTTTCCATTTTCCTATTCTCTTAGGGACTCCTATATAATACTGAGTCATTTCTTCCAAGTGCTTATTATAACAGTTGAGTGAGTTATTGCCATTGATGTTAAAAACACTGGAAATAGTTCCCATTTTGCACTCGTATGCAAAGATTTAAAAATTTCCACATAAGAGATGACAATCTAGCAAAGAAACATCTGCCTCCTTTCGCTAAAGAAAAACCTCTATGCAAACTCATAGGTGCGGCTCGAAGCAAAAGCAAAGTAGAATTGATTGAGCATCTACTACTATATGACCGGGGCCAAGCAAGGCAGACCACCAACTCCACCGTAATGCAGACAGTAAGAGTTAAAGAGGGATGGTTCGGGTAACAACGTGAGGATCACATCCATTTCACTCGCGCAAAGGATAAAATTTGGAGAGGTAGGCTGAGAAAGGGTAGCTGATGTCCGGATCAGGACAAGAGCAAGAAAAGATGGGAGGACAACAGCAATTACCGATGTTCCTGTGACCCTGCAACTGCTCCAGCGCCGCCCTCTCTTTGCGGAAACCATACTCCGCGGCCGATGCCGCCGCCCCGGTGGTTCCCGGCGGTAAGAACTGCTTGAGGGCGCCAGGGGGTGAGCCGGGCGTGCCGCAGCAGCGTACCCGATACACCGAGGCGGAGGAGCCGCTGCCCAGGCGGCTCTGTACCTGCCAAAGCCGCCCGAAGGCCTCCAGAAACCGCGGTGGCTCCGCGCCCCAAGCGCAGCTGGACCCCGCCATCAGTGGAGATTGAGGGCACTGACACGGGAGTTGATGCGACGCCCGGGGCAGGCCGGAAAGGCCCGTGGTCACATCCCCGCCTGCTGGATCAGCGGCTCCGCAGGGAGGAACCTGCAGCCGCCTTACAACTCCAGGGACTTCAGGCTGCCATGACACCGGAAGCTGTCATGTGACCGGGTCCCAGAAGCCGGAAATAGAGAAAGAACCAATCCTACAACTTGAAGGAGAGCTTGTGTAGTTTTGAAGGTTTGTTGTTTTTCTGATCTCTTCAAGCAAACTACTCATAGCGACCTTATGAACAAAAGATCTGGACCGTGTCCTATCATGAGCCATCCTCACCATCTCTGATACATGTGAGCCCATTTGCTGCGGTCACCGGGTCAATCCATCTGATTGAGGATATTCCTCTCCTTCGCTGACCCTCCCCCTTTCCAAGCATGCTGTCAACTTCCCAGGAATGTCTCCCCTAGCAACATGCCCAAAATGCATGAGACGAAGTTAGACTTGGAGGAAAGAACAGAGAGAAAAGAGATGCTAACGTTTATTAATTCCTTGCAATTCCAGGCCCAGTGCTAATTACTTTTATATGCATTATCTGAAACGAAAATTGTTCCTTTCGCTTATTGAAATGTTCAGGAAAATAAAACTCATCTTAAGATTCCTCTAAAAAGGTATTAAAGAAGAATGCCTTTGTTATTAAAGGCGTGGTTTACTACCGCTACCATCACTCCACGATCACTAAATTCTACTTACCCAAACCCTTGTGCTCCTTTAAATTCACCTTGCGTCATCAAAAACAAATCCACTCCTGTGGAACACTGTCATATGCAATTTTCATATATCAATTGATTCTTACTGAAAACATTTCTGGTAGAAAGTTCTCAAATTTATACTGGGTAAACAAATGTTAGGTGCCATCAAGTCAGTTTCTACTTATATTGACCGCAGGTACAACACAAGGAAACACTGCCTGTTCTAGTGCCATCCTCGCAACTTAAGCTATGCTTGGACCCATAGCTGTAACCCCAGTGTCAATCCACCTTGTTGGAGGTGTTCCCCTTTTTCTCTGTCTACCAAGCAAGATGTCCTTCCTCTGCTGGGATTGACCCTTCCTGAAAATATGCACAAAATATGTGAGACAAAGTCTCACCATTTTTCGTTCTAAAGAGCAGTTCAGTTGCACTTTTTATGAGACAGTTTTGTTTCCTGTTTTGACACACCATGATATATTCAAAATTTTCCATCAATACCATTAAGAAATTAATTTTTCTTCTGCCTTCTTTACCTATTGTCTAACTTTCACACACATATGAGGTGATTAAAAATACCATGACTTAGGCCAGATGTACCTTAGTCCTCAGGGTGACATCCTTAGCACCTTAAAGAAAGCTTTGCAACAGATTTGTCTCATGTGATGTATCATTTGATTTACTTCTAGCTGATTCCCAAAGCATTTTTTATGGATAATATTTTCTGTGTTTAGTATGATGCTGTTTATTACTCTGGTTGTAAGGATTTATATCTACTTTATATATTGAGGTATAATCTATACTGAAGGTTGTAATCTTTAGGCTTAATCAGTAAAAGCTTCAGATTTTTATTTAAACTAATATATCAAATAGGGATTTCAACCCACAAACTAAAGTGTGTGATAAGTGTAGTTGTTGTTGTTGTTGTTATGTGCCGTCGAGTCGCTTGAGACTCATAGCAACCCTATGTACAACAGCCCTAAACCCTGCTCTGTCC